AAAGAAAGAAAGAAAAGGGTATTGACTCTTTTCCTGACACTTAAATTCTAGGATTTGACCATATCATCACATATCACATTTCCTTTACTCAGTGTTTATTCTTAGGGCTGTTCTTAACTCCTCATTTCATATTCTACCATTCCTCCCCTAAGTAAAATTCTGTATTCACCAAAGAATCTAGCTGATCCTTTAAAAACCTCAGTCTACTCCTGAGTGAAGAAGAGTGAACTTGAAGATGTCTTCCCACTGTTGGGTGGTAGAACAGCTGGCTTTCCAGGGCCTGCCTGGCTGAGGGACCTCATGACCCGGGGTTAAATGCTCCCAGTCAGCACCTGATAGTTCCTTGGCTTCCCTGTGCTCCCAAGACACCCAGGACCCACAAGGACAGGGCACAGGTTGCTCCCATGATCTGGCACCCACCCTCAGCTCTGCCAGCTGTCCCTCTTCACTTGTCCTGCTCCTGTGACACTGACCTCTCAGATTCCCAGATGCACCTGCATGGAACATAGCTAAGTGTGGGCTAATATATTGGTATCTTCAGTTGATTGTCTCGGTGCCTACACTGTGAACTCCACAGGGCAGCGATGATGGAGTCTATTTTGTTTTCTCTTCCAGAAGAGTGTGCCATAAGCAGCAGGTGCTCAAATTGATTTCTCAATGAAGAAACTTAGAGCGATCATGTTTTCAGAATAAAAAAGTCACATGACCTAGAAAGGGATTTTTTTCCCCCCCTGATTTGTTCATTTATGTATATAAAATCAGATAAAAGTAAAATTTTTCATCTTGGGTTTTTTTTTGGTACTGGGGATCCAGCTCCGGACCTTGTGGTTGTGAGGCAGGCGCTGGAACCACTGAGCTAAATCCCCGGCCCTCATCTTATTTTTTATTAGGCTTAAGAAATCAACCTAATCAAGAAATTTTAGGGGGGCCTGTGGGGAAAAACAGGCTGCCGCCCCAAAAGGGGTGCTATCCCTTGGGGAATGACAGCCCAGTGACACAGAAATGGCCAGCCCAGGCTGGGCGGAAGTGAAACAGAAAACCTGCTCTAAGCATTTGGAGGAGACGTGGGCCTGGAGGGGTGAGGCGAGTGTCAGGGAAGGACCCTGGGTCGAGGCGGAAGGACAGAGCTGTGGGTGGTGATGGATGGGCGGGTGCTCTCTGCTAAGTCAGCAAGGAGGGCTCTGGCCTCCTGCCGGCCCCAGAGCTGACCTTCTGCTTCCTTAGAGGGAGAAACAATCTCCACAGAGGGCTCAGCACCCACCTTCTCTTGCAAATTCCCAGTCCCAGCATCGGCACTGAGTCTCAGCTTTCATGAGAAGCAGCTTTTGGTGTTTCAGCAATAGTTCTGGGGCCTTCTCTGACCGCTGTCAGGTTTGTGGGTTTGCTTTTTGTGCATGTGATGGGAGAATTCCCCTGTGAGCCTGTGGAAAAGCATTAATGTTGCTACAAAAATGGGCTCTTGCTCCAACCTAGAGGGTTGTGCAAGCTCTCAAAAGCGAAGCCCATCAGAGAGGTGGGGGTCAGGCGGGTAATGGCGCCCAGTGCTTGGCCCTGACATTGATCTTTGTTTTGTGCTATTAGGGACACAAGCGGCTGCAGCCAGCAGCTGACACATAAAGCACATTTACTACACCTACAGCGCACAGCTTGTCGTTTGCTTGGGAGACCCGGAACAGGAGCGGGTTTGAGCTGAGTCTGAGGACCGCAGTCGGGGCCCAAAGGGCTAAAGGCGTCTCGCTTCCTCCAAACACTACTTGGAGCTCTTCCTCCTCCACCTGTATTTACCTCCCTCTGGCTCATTCATCGTCTCTTCTCCAAAGATGAGAAAAAAATATTTAAATATATAGTATCTCTTTTCTTCCCCGCCAAAATCTTCTTTTTCCCTGTGATTCTTAAAATTTGTTTTTGAAATTTCAGCAGAATTTTATTTCACATTTGAATGTTTCTATTATTAAACTGCTCCATGTATGAGAATGGCCGCACAGACAGACACCCTCACTACCTGGGAAATGTGTGCTTATGAAGTGGCGGAGCCTCCTTCTCGAGCTGCACCGACCCCTTGCCCCTCTTCTGCATCCCTGCTCTTTCAGGAAAGTGCCCCTCAGTTGCCAAAGTCTTGTCCGGCGACACCTGCAGGGAAACTGCCCTCCACCCTCTTGCTGTGAGCCCCACTTCACCTCCCACCTCTGTTTTCATGTCTCTGAATTCCCCAAATCTTTTGGGCTTATATTTAATAGACCTGTGTTTGTGTAAATCAATACCTATAAACCGTTCACTTGAGAACAGGGAGCTGGTATATTTTATGGCTCAAAGGACAGTAAAAGCAGCCTCCACATAGGGCCACCGCAAGTTCTGTGATTGAGTTATTAAGTTCTTGTTGGCTCCATTCCTGCCCTCACCTACTGCACATCTCTAGTACCTTGTAATTTCGTTAGTGGGAAAGGAGCTGAAAGACAAGCCAGCTCCATCTTGAAACACCCTGGAATCTCAAGCACATTTGAGGGTGGAGAACTAACTGCTTTGGGCTTCCTGTGAGGCCAAATATGGGCTGGACTAATACGGGGTGGATTAAATCAGTTCCACCCAAATTTGCCTTTTGCTATCTCAGTTTATTTATTTAACATTTCTTTGTTCCCGTATTTCCTTCTTCATTCATCCTTCTAAAGCAAGGGGTAGTAAATAATAGCCCTTGGGACAAGTCTGGTCTACTGCTTGGCTTTACATGACTGAAAAGCTAAGAAAGGTTTTTACATTTTTAAATCGCTTAGATATATTAACAATGATGTTTCATGCTGTGAAATTCAAATTTTAATGTCCCTAAATAAAGTCCTATTGGAACACAGCCACACTCACTCAGGGCTTGTCTGTGGCTGCTTTTAGGCCACAGTGGTAGTTGCCACAGGAATTGTGTGGCTTGCAAAGCCTGAAACCCTTACCACTGACCTGGCCTTTGCAGAACAAGCTTGCAGAAGGGCCAGGGATGTAGCTCAGTGATGCTGCCCCTGCCTCACAAGTGCAAGGTCCTGAGTCGATCCCTGACATGGGAAAAAGTTTGTAGATCTGTCCCATACAAACAAAATGATGCCTCTTTGTTTATAAGGAAATTCTCAAAATGCAAGTCCCCCAGTGGTTTTGCAACCCTTTCATCTTCAGAGAGTGCCATTTCACAGTGGTCCCCTCTGAGTGAGTCCTGTCTAATTTTATTCCACAGATTCTTCAGCGTAGATGATTGGCCCCTTGAAGAATATTATTCAGGGAGTGTTTTTTTCTAAATGTTACTTTTCAACAGGGACACAAACCCCTTATTTGAAAAAACTGTAAGTCAGTGTTTCTTGTCCCTGGTTGTACTTTTTAATCCCCAAAGGAGACTGAAAAGCTCCCCATGGCCTGGTCTCACCCCAGATCCACTAATGTGGATGAAGTTCAGCTTTGGGAGTTCTTGTAGCTCCCCAGCAGACTCCAGTGTGATCGAGGTTGGTTCCCACCAAGAAATTTCAGCCTATGTGGGGGTGGGGCTTTAATTGATGTAGCCAATTGTAAATTCTATTCCTTTTTACAAATACTTGTTGAACACCTGCCTCCCACATCCTGATTGCTTTGGAAGCTGTACCTCAAAAAGGAAGAAACATCTGTGTAGCCACTGTACCCTAGCAGGGCAGATCATCAACAATGGACCAAGTGTCCCCTTTCACCCATATGGTCTAGTATCTAAATCTTATTTCTGCAGAATTAGGTGTGTAGCTATGCGGAAACCAAAAAGCATTAATAAGGATAACACTAGCTTTAGATCCCTCTCGTGACTCTTTTGGAAATGGCTACATTTATATCAACTAAAAATGATGTCCCAGGGAGCCCTCAATTATATCACTGTAGAGCTCAGACCTCCGCTTACCAGCTGAACAATCTTGAACATATTCTTTGATTTCCTTTAGATTCCTTTCCCACTTCATAGAAAGAGGTAATTATAAACTGACATCCAGGTTTTGGGGAAGACTAAATGAGATAACATACACAGAAGCTCTTTTATGACGGTACAGTTCTGTTCACTGATTTCCTGTATTTTTATTAGGGTTTTTATTGAATCAAAAGAGGCAGAAATAAAGAAGGAAACAAGGGAACTATGAGTAGATGCCCATGGTGGAAACTCCCATTAAGGAAAGAAAGCAGGACCAACAAAGCTAAGAGACAACGGATGACGTGGGAAAAAATTTTATCAGCTGTACCTTAGACAAAGGACTACTATCTAGAATATATAAAGAACTGAAAAAAATCAGACTCCCCAAATTCAAAGACCCAGTTAAAAAATGGGCATCTGAAATGAACAGACATTTCTCAGACAAAGAAGTAAAAGCAGCAAATAAATATATGAAAAGATGTTCAACATCACTGGTCATTCGAGAGATGCAGATCAAAACAACACTGAGATTCCAGCTCACCCCACAAAGAATGGCTGCTATCAAGAAATCAACCAATAACAAATGCTGGTGGGGGCGTGGGGAGAAAGGAACCCTTCTCCATTGTTGGTGGGAATGCAGACTGGTGCAACCACTATGGAAATCAGTATGGACATACC